TAGCCCTCAGACATCGAGCTGTCGACATCAATAGGTGTAGGTGCTGTCGAGTAATTGTCCATGCTTGTAGCTGCAAATTCTGGACGGTGGTGAACCTCCTCGGTGTGCAGTGGAGGCGGAGCGGTGTCCATCAGGCCGTACAGCAGCAACAACGCCTCACTAACATCAATTGCCGTTAGTAAAATGATTGATAGACGCAATATCGACCGCCACTTACGTTTTCTTATCCAGGTTCTTAAACTTGACGAAGCGCGAGTAAACCTCATTGAGTCGTGTTACTGTCTCGTGAGAATCGGCATAGAACTGCGGCGCGTCTGTCGCGATCTTGCGCTTGATCTTCTCCAGAACTGAAAACTACATTATCATTCCTCTCATTAGTTATTTATCCAAAAGATTACATCTGCGAGGGTACGTACTGCATCTGTCTGTGGAGCTGTAGATACGGCGTCATGGAGACGGACGACCGTGCGGCGCGTAGTGATGGCGGACGGCGCTTGACTGAAAGCGGTTCGCCCGCCAAAAACTTATTGATAGCAGCAGTACACTCGGCATGTTTTTCGTGTTGCAGAATGTGTCCGCAGTCGTCAAATAGCAGCACCTGTCCTTGAGCCTCCGGGGTCCATTTCTGCTTGAGCACGTCTACTGACGAGACGTCCAGAACTTGATCGTGCTTGCCCCACATCACCAACGTCTTGGCACGAATGTCAGGCAACAAATCCTCCAACACCGTCGGGTTCTGCAACGAATCGTGGACAATCTTCTCCAACACTGGCAACTGCTTCTCCCGTTCGGACGCAATCATATTTAAAAAGACATGCGGAATTTTACGTGGATCGTAGCTGAGATGGTTGTTCATCTCGACTAGATCGTCGGCTGTGTGTGCAAGCAGCAAGTTCCGTCCTGAATCCTCGAGCATTTTCAGTAATGCGCTCTTCCTGGGCATTGAGATACCCGCTGGACACACCATAGTCAGTGACTTGATACGCTCCGGGTACAGTCCAGCATACACTCCAGCGAGCATACCGCCCATGGAGCAGCCTACGAGGTTGGCGTTGATCAGTGGATGATGCTCGCCGCGGCGCTCGGTGTCGTGTTAGCGCCCAACACCAAATAAGCGGTGGGAATAACAAGTCTACGGAGCTAATGCAGCCTTGGTTAGCCTATAGACGGCCGCGATCAGACGGAGGCTGCTACATAATGCTCAAGATGCATCTTTAGCAATTACTTAGGGGTAGCTAGCTGGAAGCGAGGCAGAACCTTGACGCTGGTTTTGTACGGTTCCGTGGGTTGCGGTCAACTGGTGCATATATCTTACGCTATTTATGGACAAGTGAAACTTTGTAAAGCGCTATGACGCCAAATCCTTCTCGCCCAAATTTTGCGAGCACATTACAATTTGATATCCCGACCTTCTGACTGCAACCGTGGATTATCGTCAAGCCGTCTCGCACGACCACAGCATGCTAGCGGCGTCATGGTGTGGCGGAAACGTGGTTCAACCTGGTGTCCAATGCGGATTCTTCCAATATCCACTGTGGGGCTCAAATGGCTGGCCAGGAGAAAACATATATATCTAGCCCCGAAATTGTCCGCCCCAGTTCAACACAAATGTGCAGAATGTTGATCGCCTCGACCAAATTCGAGAACGATTTTTCTACTGCAGAGAGGATTATTTGTACAAACGATGAGACAAGAAGCTGACCCTCGCGCTTATTGACGTTGCACGGTCAAACGCATATCTTACGTGGCGACTGGTGAAGACGGACCCAGCGACTCGTGACCCCCACAGATCGTTCCTGATGGGGCTGGTCGGTGATCTTTTGAACGGGCAGTGAAGGAATGCACCTAGTGGCGGTAGAGTGCTTAATAGTTGTGGAATGCTCGACAGCGGAGATGTGGGGCAAGTTGGCACACCTTCATCTCGGACACAACCCAGCAAGACTGCAGTGCTGCCAACAACGGCGTTCACATCGGTATCCTTAAGACAAATTCACGCTGAGAAGAGCCGAAAACGCCGGAGCTG